TACGTCAAAAATTCGCCCGACCGGGCGCGAGAGTACGATGTAATTTTGGCAAAAAGTCGCCCGACCGGGCGAGATCCCGCCCAACCGGGTGCGAGAGGTCGCCCGGCCGGGCGCGCCTCTATTTCTCCGGATTCACTTTCTTTTCTCCTTTCTTTCTTCCTTCTTACTCCTTCCTCCATTGCTTTCTCTCTCTAAAACTCCATTTTTCTCTAACTTCTCTCTACGTTTTTTCCTTCATCCCCCATCCAAATCTCAAGTTTTTCCCATCATTATACTCCCCTCTTCATCCCCTACATTCCTATACTGATATTATTACTTTTGAAGAGTTCAACAATCAAAATTTCGCCATGTTCAAGAGACAAAGAAGCGTTTGCGGTTCGGGTCGGGTTCGGGTTCGGGCCAAGGAGTTCAGTACGATCCGGAGCTCCAACTTCCGGATTTGTGTCCAACCATTCGGATTACTACATCTGATCAGCGTGACCATTTGATAAATCTCGCCGGACGTGAGGTAATTTCTTCCCGGTGGTTACACCGGCACACTCTTAAGAAATTAGGCTTGTGTGATCATGTTAAACAATTCATGGCTGATATAGGTATGCGAAAATTTGTTGATATGTACTACCCGACATATAGGGAGTTGACATGTGAATTTCTTTCATCCCTTAATGTAGTACAATCTAGGAATGGTCCAATTCTACATTTTCGATTAAACAACAGAAACATTAGTTTAAATTATGTAGAATTTGCCGAACTGTTTGAACTGGATTCCTCTCCCCCTACTGAATGGAGTGAAGAGTATAAGGAAAATGATATTTATTTTTCTCTAACGGGCAAAAATTGCCCTAATTCACAGCATGCCAGTACTCTTCCATTCCATCACCCCGTCCCTAAAAATTTTCACAGATTTTCAGGGACCTGTTTTCTAGGACGTCACGAACCCCACAATGCTCAAACTAACGAATTAGCTATCCTAGGGCATTATGTTTTTGGTTATGGACGATTGAACATCGCCCTTTATATTATTCATCACCTGAGTAGGCACGCCAATGCCTATAGCAACAATGCTAAAACCCCCATTCACATTGGCGGCCTTATCACTAGGATAGCCCTTAAAAAGGCTGGGTTTAGTGAGTCTAAGTATGCAGGGATTACTAACTGTGGGGGGGGGGGGGAATCTCAGATAAACCTGTTATACATGCAATTTTTAAACTGGATTAAAACCAGTCGTAACCAAGTTTCAGAATGGTTAGTCAGAGTCGACAGGGAGTACATCCCTGTTTTCCCCCTCCCTAACCCTAAGTTGACAGCCTTTCCCCCTGGGCAAGAGTCGTATACCTACGACATTCTACCTGATCACGCACAGGGTTTGTCTCAACATCCACCACGTGCCTCACCTCGTCCACCATCACCTCCACAGCCTCACTATGAGGCACCACCACCTCCACCTCAGGTACCTCGACCCCGACCCACACCAGACTCCGAGACTATTTGGGATTTACAGAGTATAGGTCAGGCCATAGGCAGGGTAGAGCAGTCCCAGGGTGACCTTAGGCAAATGGTTGGCTCTATTGACCAACGGTTAGGGTATGTTGAGAGGAACCAAGGTAGAGCCCTTTTTCCTATGTACGATGATTATGCTCGTCGGGGTGCTATTCCCGATGATGTTGTTTACCCTGACTGGTACCGGCCACCACCCCAGGGATATGTGGATCCCGCCTCCCATGGTATTTACACTGATTATTCCGCATTTGCCGGTTATGGTCGAGACATTCCCTTTGGGGGGTTAGGGGGGATGTTCACCCTAACTATTTTGGTGGTAGTTCTTCTGGTGGTGCAGGTGGCAGTGGTGAGTCTGGCCAAATGGATGAGGATGGTGATGATTAGTCGCGCTGGGCTAATTCCCAAGACAATGAGGACATTGTCTGATTCTGGCTTGGGGGAGATTTTGGATGTAGGTATATTTTCTTTTCTTTATTTTATTTTATTTTATTTTTGTGTGTGCTTTAGTATAGTTTTTATTGCTTTCTAGGGTAGATTTACTGCTTTGAAAAAAAAATACAATAATACGAACCAATGAATGATAAATCATGCTTCCTTGTGCCCCATACATGAAAATGGTTTTGATTCTTGGTATTTGATGATGAGTATTGTGGATAGGTTAGCCATGATTTGATGTTTGATTGCTTTGATGTCTTAACATGAGTCAATTTTGTCCAACTGCTTGTGAATATAGTGCTTGACTAGTTGATTTGGTTAGGAATGTGTTTTAGTTCCTGGTATGTCAATGAAGTTGAGTACTGGTTTATAACTTTGAGTAGTATTTGTATGACTCATTATTATGCACAATGAGGAGGACGAAGGCATTTGTTCTTTTAGGTGGCCTTCAGATGATTTTAGATACATTTGTTCCCTTCTTGCTACCCATGTTGTTTCCTTGACTGTTTATTGTTTATTAACCACATTACAAGCCTATTTTGCCCCATTGGTTACTAGTCCCAAGCTTGGCTTGGGGGAGCTATTAGTGAGTGAGGTGAGGGAGTTTGTAGTGTGAATATTTATTTGCACAGTTTTGGGTGGGCTTGAGAAGTTTTTATTTGTTTTTATTTTTATAGATTGGGATAAATATTGAAAAATTGTTGTTCAAAGTGAAAAATTCCAAGTGAGTACAAAAAAAAAAAAAAGAACAAAAAGAAAAAAAAATTGTTTTGATGTTCAAGTGTTTTAATGAAGGTGGCTTGAAAAGAAAAGAAAAAAAAAGAAAAAAAAAAAAGAGTTCAAAGTTTGTTGATCACTCAAGTTCTATAATATCATATTTGAATGAGTGAAATTGTAAGTGTTGGGAATTTTTATTATAATTGAATGTTTGGTGAATTTTTGGTAGAGTTGAGTTGTATTGGAGATGATTTGGTCATTATTTAATTTTGACCTTGGTTTTATTTATTAGGATTGGCTCCCTTAAGCATGGCTTTACTCTCACATTTTCCCAAATTCATCCTACCTTTTACCCTAACCTTACGTTACAAGCTTTAAAGACCTTCCGACCTTTGTGCATAGAGTTGTATGGATGTGAAATTAGTTGATTATGAATGCAAATAATGATTTGACATATTCCGAGTCGACTACTAGGTTGAATGTTTGTTTTCTTAAACACACGAGTGTTGTGAGTTTGGGAGGGTATTGTTCACATTAAAGGGGTTGGATGGAGAGCGATCGAGTACATCTTCTACTCGCCACATAAATGAGAGTTGAGTGTGTGAGCACTAGTCTTGAATTCTATATGCTCTTGTGGTTTGCTCTATTTGACAATTGTTAGGAAGGATGAGTAGTTAGATGGATTTGATTGGTTAATTTTGATGCATATTTGTTGGATTAGCCTTGAATCGGTTATGCTTGGTTTTGATTGATTTTTGGGGTGAAGAATGTTTTATTTATTCATTGATGAGCTCTTTGCTTAGGGACAAGCAAGAGTTTGGCTTGGGGGAGTTTGATGTATTCATTATATATAGTATTTTATCCCCATCCCGTGATCATAGTTAGGAGTATTTTTGGCTCTTTAGAGCCAATTTTATTACTAATACGCGTTTTCTAGTGTTTTCGTAGTTGTGGCATTATTTTACAGGAAATTGCAGATTTGGTGCATTTCCCGGCATTTAGTGGAGCCACCGCGAGCATTGGAGTTGAAACGTATTTATATGATCGTGTTTCGAAGACCAAGACCGTAATTGATGATTCAATCCGGTGATTAAGGGCTCAATGAGGAGATTTGGAGCTTGGGCAATTCAATCCAAGAAGGATGACGAATTGGGCTAAGGTAACAAAGCCCAAAGGACAAAGAAGAGTAAGCCCAAGCATCTGCCCGTCCGGGCAGTGCCCTCGCCCTGAGGCGCGCCCGGCCGGGCGATAGGAGAAGGCCCGGGCACGTTTCGCCCGGATGCGCGCCCGACTGGGCGCGAATAAATTCCTTTTTTCCGTTAATTCTTGGTACGATTTCTTACTTACTTTATTTTCCGCAATTTAATTATTTTGTTATTTTCATGCATTCTTTGATTATTATGTCTAGTTTAGATTCAATTATGTCAGAGTAGATTTCTATTCTAGGGTTGTGGGGATCCATGAATAATACGAAGGGGTAAATTATTATTGTTTATTATTGATGATTGATTAATTTCCTATTGATTAATTTAATGCTATGCAATTAGATTAGGCCTGGTTTAATTGTATGAGTCTAGCAATATTGATTCGAGATTCGACAGATGAGAATTGATGTTTAGGCTTAGTTTCAATAGGCATGTTAATCTATTAATGGTTAGGTCAAGATTCGAGAGATGAGATTTAATACCAGTAGATTAATTATGTGATTATAATACGTAGCGACAACCCTTTATAATCTGGTTAATTTATGCATTGATATTTGATCGTATGTTTTACCCTGGAGTATTATTTATTGGTGAACCTATACCCTAGAGCTTTTTACTATTGATTATCTCTTTAGATTTATTTGTTTAGCTTCATTATTAGTTTAATTCCCATAAACACAAATTTGGTTACTTGGTGATTTAGACTATAATTGTTAATTAGGAATAGAAGAACCTTGTTTCCCTGTGGATTCGACCCTACTTCCCTACCTACTTTAGTTAGAGGACTTAGGAATTATTTTTGATTAGGTGACACGACTAGATCCTGTTAGTGGGCGTCACAGAGGGATTACTGATATGTGGGCAGTTTATTTATAGAACATTTTGTACATTATCATAGTAGTTTGTAAAATTTGACACTATCTTTTTAGTTTGTAACATTTGACATTATTATTTTAATTTTTAAATTTTGACATTATCTTTTTAGTTTGTAACGCGCAAATACTAATTAGTGTGCATGCAAGATATAAATTTAATCAAAATTAGAATACAAAAAATAAATAAATAGAATAAAAACAGCAATAAAAATACAAGGTTACATAGAAAAGGTATACGCGTGAAAACCTAAAAGGCAGCTAGGTTGTTCTAATGACGCATCCGGTCATGATACAACACATCCCAACCCTCTACGCTTGTTCTGCGAATGGTGTACCACCGAGGTATGATCGGTGGCACCGGAAAATTGGATGACATGTCCAATCGGATGAAATTTCTATATGACGGCTCCAGAAATGCAATAGCTAACTCTTTTACTGGTGTGGTGACGGTCGTACGCGAACACCAAGGGAGAACCGTGGTACATGGATAATAAGCTCGACTATGTAAACCAAGCCCGAAATGCATAACTGCACACTTGTAGATGTTTGCAACGGCAAACAGATCAAGTGGCGCGTCGAACCAATGATTTTGACCGCAAGGTCCTCCTCCCCACCGGATACGCTGTAGAGAACTATCCAAGTCTTGGTCGTACACATGGCGACAAACACCTCGGTTTGAGGCGATTTCACTGTACATTAACTGACGCACTAAACCGTAGTTGTCTTCACCCATCTGAAACACATCAACCATGACCCGGAATCCGCAGTTACCATCTGCAACCACATCATTCCACCCGTCCAAGTATGCCATAATGATGTTAGGGATCCTGTCCTTATATGGAAACTGATCGATATCCATTCTTCCTGTTGCACATATCAATAAACACAATTAACAAGTCAGCATTAAACTAAACAAACATTCTAAAAAGTAAATTAAAGTAAAGTACTGTACCGGTGCCGGGCATATTCACCGACGAAGAAGATTGGCTACGATTGGATGACGATGAACGACCATGGCCACGACCACGACCACGACCACGACCACGAATGTACTCAAACGCACTCCTATTCCGCCGTGGTTGTCGACCTCTAGGTCGCTCGACCCCTTTAGGTTCCTCGTGATCCAAGCATGATGTGTTGAATATGTCATAAAGTACGTGGGTAGCATCACGAATGATTGAAGGGTGACTGGAGGACACTCGGCCAAACATCGAACGAAACTGCTCCAACTCCTCCTGTTCACGGTGGACCGTCTGTGGAATAGCATGCTCTCCAATAACGAGCGTCCTCCAGAATGGATGAACCTGATCAACATGTAACGACGCCCTATCTTGGGTAATTACGCGGTGAATGGTGCATGCACAAGGTAGTCCATGAGTCACTGATATAGCACATCCGCACCGAATAGCCACTTCATCACCCAACTCCTTCATCCTGTTGTGCTCGCTCATTGAGCTAGGCGGGGCTGCTTATAAAAAGCCTCTGCCACTCGCCATCTAAGTTGAGAACTTAACGAAGCCACCTTTTTATTCGACCCCTCCTCCTCCAACTCAGCACCCTCCATATTGCGCATCCTTTCCCCCAACACCCCATCATCTTCCACCTCCATATGACTATTAAATTGATCCCTCTCTCTCACTATTTTCCTGTACTTCTTATTCCTCTCTTTAGTGTTATTTAACACCACACCTGCAACAAAAGTAAATAGACGCGAACCACTATTCGTATCATCTCCACTCCCCGCAGCCAAAATCTCTCTCCAATCTCGCCTCACACCAGGTACCATGCAGTCAAAGCAAGCGTAAAATTACCATTTTCAAATAACTACCCCCAAGAGCATTTATTTTAAATATCGAGGGAGTAAATTTTATAAAGTATAAGAAGTGCTTTATTTTATTAATATGAGACTAAAAATATAGGAGTAATTTTTATGATTTAGTTTGAGATTAATATTTTAATTCATCTTTTAAATTATAAACAAATTATCAAATACTCTAAACTTTTTAAATTTCCAAAAGCAACGAATATTATTTGAAACAAATTAAAATAACTAATGAAAATCCTCTAATAGCAATGAAAATAGAGCTACATTCCAAAAAGAATAGGTTTTAATGAAAAAATAAAGGAGAGAAGAAGATAAATCACATATAAACTATTCGGTCATTTACAAAAAGTGCATCACTTTCTTTAATTGAAATATACATGCATATTTTGTTACAGAGTGTTTTTTTTTTTCTTTCATTACACTTACTCTACTTTTATGTGTGGATGGTCCTCTAGCGTAGTTTGTTCATGTTCTTTTGAGCTTTAGAGTAAAGCAGAGAAGTTGTCAGTAGGTAGAGCAAGTGTCAGCGTAGTAGAATAGAGCGATTTTAGTAATTAAGAATTAGTAATAAAAAAATTGTTGATATATAATTAATAATTTTTTATATTAATAATTAGAGGGAACTTCTACATGGTGGCCTCTAAGATCTAAATATTCGACATGGAAGACAAACCTTTTTTGCATTTTATAGAGTGATCCTCTACATTTTAATAATTGAGTTGAGTGACCTTAATTGTATTTTTTATGGCTAACTTAGCCACAAAATGACTAATTTTTAACCATTATAACAAAATTACTAATTTACCCTTGATTAACACCACACCACAACATATGCCCACAACCTAAGCCACCACATTCGCCGCTGCTTAGCCACCACCACCACTACCTTCCAATAACCACCTAAGCACCACTGTCGCCGCCGCTTAGCTATACCCCCACCGTCGTCCTATCCCTAGGATCCAAACCCCACCTCTCCACTTAGGGCACTAACCCAACCACGAAAACCACTCCTCCTTCTCTCAGCTCCCACCTCGAAACAATCTTTCCCCCCTCTTCTGCGGCAGCCGACGTCCAAGCCCTAACTAACGTCGACGCCTTGCCTGCCCTCCTGCCTCGAATCAATCCCATCCCCCTTTCCCCACCCATAAACTTTGCCCCAAACCAAACCCCTACCCCGAAACCACCTTAACAAAACCTTAAAAACGATTAAGGTGATTTTGGGGCAAGGGTTTGGGGGCGGTGTTTGGAGTGGAGGAAGGAGAGGGTGGTCGATTTGGGTGGGAATAGAGTAGTGGGGTCATTTTGATTGAGGTGGGGAACGGAAGCAGGGTGGGGATGTCAAGATGGGGGAAAGAAAGGAGATGGGGGCGTCGGGTGTGGGGAATGGAGGAGTTGGGTCGCTGGCAAGGAGGAGGGAATGCTAGGCACCGTCAATCACTGGTAAGAGTGGGGGAGGGTAAGAGGGATGAGGGTGGTGGTTGGGGATGGGAGAGCAGTGGTGGGGGTTGTGGTTTGGTCGAAAATGAAAGAGGTAAGTTAGTAAATTTACTTAAAAACAACTAAGGCTAACCATAAAACACAAATAAGGTCACCCAACTCAATTATTAAAATATAGGGGATCACTCTATAGAATGTAAAAAAAGTTTGTCTTCCATGTAGAATTTTCATTTCTTGGAGGCCACCATATAAAATTTCCCATGATTAAATAATAACATCAATTTATAATTGAACAAAAATATCAATTATTAAATAAAAAAACCCTAAGGGTTACATAATCATTAAAATACATTTTTAATAAGTATAACTTTGAAAATTTACGATAAAATCATGCATCCATCGTCGTTAATAAGGTAAATAATTCTGTATCTTTCCTTTGTAATATTCGGAAAATGATTTTGGCATACCAAATAATTGATTTTGGATACTCATTATGAGAGCACGGTTTTCCATATGCTCTTCTCACATAAAGGTGCGCCAAAATCAATTTTTAGTGCCAAAATCATCCCCCTAATCTTCTTGTATGCATCCTAATTAAGGCTAGGGCTTCATTAACCATTTTCATTAGCATGTTGAAAAATTAGGAATAGAGAAAGTACTTCAAAATACTCATGTCTCTAAATTACTTTCCCCTTTTAAAAATATAAATCTCTCAATTACAAAGTCTTTGTTATTTCTCATTATAGCAATATATAAGAATTATATTCATTGGAATAGAGAGAATATAAAGATTTGAAGATAGTTAAGTTTGTCCAATTCAAGCCACGTATAAAAACTTTGAATAAAAAATATATATATATATTTATCTGTTGGTGTAATTAAATTTTTACTTGGCATGGTAGATTGTTTAAATTTTAAATTAAGTACAATAAAAGATGCATTGAGACAATCTTTTAGTAAGATAAAATCGGAAAATACTCATTGGAAAAAAATATAAAATTTACGTTCGTTAGCCAAAATTATATTTCCTATGTTCCAAATTAGATGACATGTTTCTTTTACTCCTATCACGTTTGCAATTCAAAATTCAAGTGAAATCATCTTTAATTATACTATTGTAAATTTATACTAAAAATTTAATTTTAATTAAGTGCACATTGAAACAAATCTAGCTAACAAGATCCCAAATGACTTTTTTTTTAATCTAAAATAACTGTTTTTTTTTTGTTTTTTTTTTTTTTGGTGTTTAGAGAGCCACAAGGGCAAATGATGAGAAATGATCCCATGGAGGGGAGCTTTAACCAATTCAGCACTCCTTCACTCTCTCATCTATAAATCATAACTGTTAGTCAAAACAAAGTTTATGAATAGTGTCAAAAGTCAAAACGTGTTATCTAATTAGAAACGAAGGAAGTATAAAAAATTAAATGATTGTTGCAATACTAGTATTTGTATTGTGACATTAATGAAGAATTGTCGTTTATAAAACAATATAAATCCCTTTTGGATTAAATTCTTAGGAGGGATGGTGGTTAGTTTTTTGGGTAGGGATGTGGGATTACTAGGATATGGATTTTGGGTTGCTGTGATCTAGTTTGGTGAAGGTAAGGTCGAAGATTTATTTTCTCTAAATTACGATGACTAAGGCCCTGGTTGTTTTACTTGAATTTTGGTAAACTAACTTATTTTACCAAATTTAAATTATTTTTAGTGAATTTAATTATTTTTGCAAAACTTAAATAAGTTTTACTGAAATTAAATTATCTTCGCTAAATTTAAATCATTTATAAAATAAAACTTATTTTACTGATTCGCTTCCCAATTATATTTGTCATTAAAGTTCCTAATTTCTATTGATTAAAACTTATTTTGACTAGACAAAACTTATTTTAAATAATTTTTGTTGAATTAAAATTATTTTTACTAAACTTAAATTATTTGTACTACACATTATTTGAATAAGGTGAAGAGAACTAGGCTAAAGAGTTTTTTGGGGGGATTGTTTAAATTTTTTTTTCCAAAGTAAATACAAACTTGTTGACTAAAAATCCAAGAGAGGAAGGTTACTTCTTTTTACTAACAATAAGTCTTCTTTAATATTCCCTAAGTCGTAGAATAATTAATACAGTCAAATTTGACACACATGTCAATGCACTACTTTGTCCTTAAATATATGTAATTAAATTTAATTAAAAAAAAACTTGATATTATGAAACTTTATATTAATACTTATAAAAAGTTATAGTCAAAGTTAGTATATGAATTGTGAAAAGGCCAAATATGTCAATTATATTGGGATGGGGAGGGTACCACAATATGCAAAAATATCCCCCCACTAATGTCAATTTAAATAGAATTTAAAAAATATCACGGTTTTTTTTAGATTTCCAAAACCCTCTTAGCAACCAAGTCTAAAGTTTAAGAGAGACTATTGAGAATTATCAAATTCATTTTGTGTGAAACTAGTAATATTATTTTTATCGCAAATATTATCACAAATTCGAAAATCATTTCAAATTATATATTTTAAACAACAAATTGATTTGGCTAGTTGTGGTTTTAGATTACACCCTTCGCTTTTTTTTTTTTACCCATTACATTTTTCTTTTCTTTTTTTAATTGATAAATTAAATTCTCAATAGTTTCTCTTAAACAAGAGTGTTTTGGATATCTAAAAAAAAACCTTGATATTTGAATTGACATTATTGGGGGATATTTTTGTATAATGTGATACCCTCTCCATCCCAAAATAATTGACATATATATGAGTTTTTTTCACTATTCATATACTCACTTTGATCATAATTTTTTAGTAATTTATTGAAGTCAAATTTTATCACAAAATATATATGTTGTTAAATAATTATCAATATAAAGTTTCATAATATTAATTTTTTTTTATTTTTTACTATTATTTATTTACATATATTTGAGGTCAAACTAGTGCATTGACATGTGTGTTAAATTTTTCTGTATTAATTATTTTGGGACTAAGGGAGTATCCGAACATCAAAAAATGGATCAAATATCTCATTTTTTTTAGTATATATTAATAGGTGGGCTTTTATTTTAATATTTTTATAACCATGAATATATATTTAAGAGATTGGATATTTCAAATATCCTAGAATTTTAAAAGGCAATCCAAATCCGATTCAAATTTTTCAAAATATCCAATCCAATTTATTT